AGGGTAGAGTAGAGTAGAGTAGAGTAGAGTAGAGTAGAGTAGGGTAGGGTAGGGTAGGGTAGAGTAGAGTAGAGTAGAGTAGAGTAGAGTAGAGTAGAGTAGAGTAGGGTAGGGTAGGGTAGGGTAGGGTAGGGTAGGGCAGGGCAGGGCAGGGCAGGGCAGGGTAGGGTAGGGTAGGGTAGGGTAGAGTAGGATAGAGTAGAGTAGAGTAGAGTAGAGTAGAGCAGGATAGAGTAAGGCTGGTTTTCATACATGTCCTCTACACTCTCAAAACATGTTAGAGGAAAGGGACTACTTCATTAGCCAAGAGCTAGCACGAGCTCCTTAGCAACAGTTGCCATGGCCGAAAAGCCCAGACAGAGAAGAAAAAGCAAAATCGACCAAAATGTAACTTTTTTTTCTTGTTTTTAAGAAACTTTAGTATCTTATTTAGCATTTATTCGTCCCAGAGTTGGGAAATTCTAGTGTTGCAGTGCACATTACAGAACAGTGGGAATAAAAAGACCAGTCAAAACAATCTAAGCAGAAGAAAGAACTTAATAAACTCAAATATCTAATAACTTAGAATTCTGCATCTCTCTGCTCCCTGAAGCCGCTGGTCCCGGTCTGAGCGTGTACCTTGGTCTTCATGTCGGCCTTCTGCACCGTGTATCCGATGATGTCACAGTTGCCGTTGTCTTTGGGCGGTTTCCACTCGAGAGCGGCGTTGAAGCCCCAGACGTCGGTGACCTGCACGGCCACCGGGGGGCCGGGTATGTCTGCGAGCACAGCCACAAGAGGGAGGTTAGCACGGAGATATGGACAACGCTAGCTCAGTGACCTGAAATGGGAAGAAAAACACTAATGAGGTCGTCAAGAAAGTTTGTTGGTTTTGAGAATTCACCACAAACTCTGAGATTCTGCTTCACTCTTGGTGGAAACGGGGCATATCTGAAATTCCAACACGATCGAGACTTCTCTGTCGTGTGAAAAGTGGATTTTAAAGTGTCATCTGAAACTGCAGTATGCTATAGGTGATTATGGTCAAAGTCCTTCTAATCCTGGTGCAGCCTAAATACAGTGTTATCACAGACTCTCATTACCGCGACCTCCAAAAAGTGACAGAGTGGCCCTTTAAATCCCATCTAATCCCAATGCACAGAGCTGTAATCCGGACTCATGGGTCCTGCTCACCTCCGCACAGCGACATGCATCCACCACATGTGCCAAACTCAGGCCCGGGGGCCAAATCCGGCCCGCAACACAGTTATTAGTGGCCCTTGATATGATTTTAAATGATGTACAGTATATCGCACTGATGTAAAGGGCGAGTATGGCATGTTATACTTCATTTTAAAGTCTCAGGAAAACAACCATGTGATCGTTTCTGTTCTGAAATGTTAACTGAAATATTATTAGAATCAGAATTACATTTAGAAGTTATGGATTCTTTTTATCAGTCTTTCAAATACTATTCATTTGTCAAAAGAGTTTTACTCTTTTGGCCCAAACCAGCTCTAATGTGTTTATATTTGGCCCTGACCAAGTTGGGTTTGACACCCGTGATTTAAAGGGTCAATCCTGTGGTAGAAACAGAGTGAAGGACAGAAGAGGAGTAGTTTGATTCTCTGATCTGTGTTGGTGAATTGACAGCTTTGAAAAATCCTCAGAGATTTAGAGCGAGACACAAATATAACTGTCAGAGCCCAAGAAAACCTTTCCCAGACACAGAGAGAACATGCAAACTCCTCTCAGGAAGATAAATACAAATGTATTTACTGAGTACATTTAATGCACTGTGAGTATTTATGATTTGAATGCCTCGTGTGGTTGTTTCTATCTCTTCTGAGACTGCCACCGCCCTCAGGCCACACGGCAACGGACAAAGCGGAAGAAACTGGGTGGATGGAGGGATGATCTCACCATTCAGTTAGTACCTTCTCTCTCTCTCTCTCTCTCTCTCTCTCTCTCTCTCTCTCTCTCTCTCTCTCTCTCTCTCTCTCTCTCTCTCTCACAGACGATTAGGCTCATCTTCTCTTCCAAATGACTTAATAATCTCTGCTTCAAACACCTGCTGCAGAGAAATCCACAGAAAGTCTGTAATCTGAGTTTGTTCCTAATCTCAGAGGAACGTCTGAAAACCTGGATTAAGACTTCACAGAAAATTACATATTTTATTTGTGGCGTTTTTGCGACAGGTGCAGAGTTTAGCACCTCAAAGTGAGATCATCGTCAAAACAGATTTCAAAGATTCTGATGAGCACAGGGACTGGCCTCCTGCTGTTCTGAGGAGCACAGGGACTGGCCTCCTGCTGGGACTCTGAGGAGCACAGGGACCGGCCTCCTGCTGGGACTCTGAGGAGCACAGGGACTGGCCTCCTGCTGGGACTCTGAGGAGCACAGGGACTGGCCTCCTGCTGGGACTCTGAGGAGCACAGGGACTGGCCTCCTGCTGGGACTCTGAGGAGCACAGGGACTGGCCTCCTGCTGGGACTCTGAGGAGCACAGGGACTGGCCTCCTGCTGGGACTCTGAGGAGCACAGGGACTGGCCTCCTGCTGGGACTCTGAGGAGCACAGGGACTGGCCTCCTGCTGGGACTCTGAGGAGCACAGGGACTGGCCTCCTGCTGGGACTCTGAGGAGCACAGGGACTGGCCTCCTGCTGGGACTCTGAGGAGCACAGGGACTGGCCTCCTGCTGGGACTCTGAGGAGCACAGGGACTGGCCTCCTGCTGGGACTCTGAGGAGCACAGGGACTGGCCTCCTGCTGGGACTCTGAGGAGCACAGGGACTGGCCTCCTGCTGGGACTCTGAGGAGCACAGGGACTGGCCTCCTGCTGGGAATCTGAGGAGCACAGGGACTGGCCTCCTGCTGGGACTCTGAGGAGCACAGGGACTGGCCTCCTGCTGGGACTCTGAGGAGCACAGGGACTGGCCTCCTGCTGGGACTCTGAGGAGCACAGGGACTGGCCTCCTGCTGGGACTCTGAGGAGCACAGGGACTGGCCTCCTGCTGGGACTCTGAGGAGCACAGGGACTGGCCTCCTGCTGGGACTCTGAGGAGCACAGGGACTGGCCTCCTGCTGGGACTCTGAGGAGCACAGAACCACTTTTGGACCATCCTGTAAGGAGGTTTTCAGGAGGAAAGGCGTCATACAAATTCTCTTTCCGGGTACACCCCCACAGGGGAGAGTGAGATTGCAGCATGTCAGTGCACGCATCGTCAGTGCACGTGTCGTCAGTGCACGTGTTGTCAGTGCACGTGTTGTCAGTGCACGCATCATGGACCTTTTGGAGCCGGGACCCGCCCCCTCTGGGGAAACTCTGGTCCTGGACCCGTTTCGTTTCACTGACCTACGACCTGGATGTGAATATCCGCGCTGGCCACCGTGTCTTCGATCTGAACCCTGAGGGTATAGACCCCAGAGTGTTCTCGCTCAGACGAGCGGATGAAGAGGATGGAGTCTGCGTCACTGGTGCGGATCCCCACAGACCGGTCCTCAAGGGGGGCCCCATCTTTGAACCAAGTCACCACAGGCCGAGGCTTCCCCTGCAGCCGGAGGAGAGGGTGAGGAGAGGGAGTGAGGGGGACGGGAGGAGAGGAGCGGGTCGGGAGGGAGGGGAGGAGAGGGTGAGGAGAAGGTGAGGAGAGGGAGTGAGGGGGAGGGGAGGAAAGGGTGAGGAGCGGGAGAGGGGAGGAGAGGGTGAGGAGAGGGTGAGGAGAAGGTGAGGAGAGGGAGTGAGGGGGGAGCGGGTGAGGAGCGGGAGAGGGGAGGAGAGGTGAGGAGCGGGAGAGGGGAGGAGAGGGTGAGGAGAGGGAGAGGGGAGGAGAGGGTGAGGAGAGGGAGAGGGGAGGAGGGGTGAGGAGAGGGAGAGGGGAGGGGGAGGAGGAGGGGGAGGAGGAGAACCAACAGAAATATACAGAGGTTATTTCAAGAATGTGATATTTTAATAATAAATCCACAGTTACTAGAACCACAAACACAGACTTTTATCAACATCAACATGAGTCTCATCCAGGACTGAGGCTGTAGACCCAGGACTGAGGCTGTAGACCCAGGACTGAGGCTGTAGACCCAGGACTGAGGCTGTAGACCTGGGACTCAGACTGTAGACCCGGGACTCAGACTGTAGAACGAGGACTTAGGCCACACAGTGCAGGACTGGGGCGTGTCCTTAGAACTGCTGTTGTGTCCCAAGGCAAGACACAAGAGAACCGTCTGTGAAATACATGAACAAAGAGGACGTACACAAAACGGTTCTGAAAGTGTCAAACTAATATTGGACATAATATAAGTTTTTCACGGCTGAGAGTTTGCCCAAAGCTGAGGTTTTGTTGTTTAAAAGCAGAGACCGCGCTCGGAGCAGTCTCGAGCTGCTACTTTTCCATCTCTGACACTTAAAACCGTGGTAAAAGTTGGTGTCTGCTCTCTTCTCCGCAGACTGAGTCCACTTGTTAGATCACACAGAGGCACTGGTTTGCCCCCGTCCCATGAGACCGCCCCCCCCCCCCCCCCCTCCCCTTCCCTCCAGCGCGGCGCCTTCTTCAAAAGACAAAATGGCGGACGTCGGTTCGGGCCTGTCAGGATTTATTTAGCTCCCACCGTACGCTTGCTCGGGGTCGCTGTTCAGAAGAGTGTGAGATCCAGAACGGAACGACAGAACCATTTCAGCAACATTTATCAAAGAGAATTTGTCACATTGTGTCATTGTCGTCTCTTTTATTTATACATTTCTGGGTCGGGGGGGGCTCAGGGGGGCTCAGGGGGGGGGGGGGGGTGATCAGAGCTGCACCCAGTTCACAAAGCCAAGAGTGTGGCTTCTCTTTTAGCAAAATACAGCCGTGGTCTTTCACCGAGGGCTTCAAGCAAAGTGGGGTTAAGTGTCTTGCTCAGGGACACAACAGCAGACATGAGAGGGGAGCAGGTGACATGACTCATGAGGGGATCGAACCCACGACCACTAGGTCCAAAGACCAATGACCTAGACCGAAGTCAGGCTCCAGTCGCTGTTTGCTGATGCAGAAGAGTCTAAGACAGTGGTGGTCCGGGACTTTTACGGACTTTAGCGTTTATGGACTTATTAAGTGCCTTCAGTCTCTTTCTCTTCTTTGAATTTAGTAAGAAAGTAATATTTATTTATATAGCACATTTTACAGACCAAGGTCGCCCAAAGTGCTTTAGAATATTCAGATATTTTAGCAGTCACACACGGTGATGATGAAGTGAGACCAGAACACACTGGTCCATCAAAGCCTCCGACCAAACACCATCTATTCACTCACTACATTCAGACCTATTGTACATGTTTTAGTGGTAGGGGAAACTGGAGCACCCGGAGAAAACCTAATCAGGCACGAGGAGAACATGCAAACTCCACTGTTCCAACCGGGATTCGAACCCAGGACCTTCTTAATGAGAAGTGAGAGGCTCCATTTTCTCACCCGCTCTTCTCTTAGCTCTAATCGACGTCTTCCACAATGGCTGACAGCTCTACAGTCAGAGTGTGAGAGAGAACACCCCTCTCTCATGATGGGCGTCCCTAAGGTTTCTCACTTTTTGTCGCACTGGGTTTTGTTCTTTGCCGATGCAGGAGGTTCGTGATCGGGACATGTTTCCACGTTTATGAACACACAGAGGTCGTCCCGCTCCCTGAGGACCAACGGCGCCTGTGTGCTTGTTATTGTTGCATTTCCAGTGTTCAGACGGTTTGATTCTCTAATCTGATGTTGGCAAAAGGACAACTCTGCAAAGTCCCCCGAGACGACTGCAGTTGTACAAAAATGCATTGAATTGAAAGAATCAAAGACATAAGATAAGAACAAACTTTATGGATCCTACAAATTTCTCTTTCTATCTATTTCTTTATTAGTGAAGTAAAAATATGTGTTGAAAAATTGTTCAGCCCAGATTTCTGCCCTATGTTACCACCCCCACAGTCTGCGCAGATGTCTTCCTTACCGGGGGTTCACACTTGGGTCTAACTTTGCAACTCAGAGAATCAAAAATGCAAAGTATTTATGTTTTTCAGTGTTGCATCATGTCTTTAGCCCCGTGTTACTGCAGTAATGAAATCCCCCAGAAACCTTTTTGAAACATCCTAAAACTCAAAGAGCGGCTTTTTGACACATATTTGAGGATCCCTGAGTTCTGTGAAAAGCAGCAGTTTAGGGGATACTCTCCCGAAGGCTTTTAGTCCAAGTTTTTTTCCACAATCTTTAATCTTCTCTTCAGCTCTTTCTCACAAATCCACTCACATTTCCCTCTTAGGAGACGGTTAAAAGTCCCGTGGAGTTTTCTGCAAATTGAATTAATGTGTAAACAGTCTTCACAGTCAAACTCGGGGCGGTTTTGGTTTATCCCAAGTGTATTTCGATATTTTATGGTAAAGATATATTCTGGTTTTTCTATGATGTTATGAATATGTAGATAAAACACTACTTCTAGTGGTTTAGCTGAAAACTCTGGGATCATAGTTTGGTCTTCTCAACCTAGTCTGAACCCTGAGGACCCAGTCTGAACCCTGAGGACCGAGTCTGAACCCTGAGGACCCAGTCTGAACCCTGAGGACCCAGTCTGAACCCTGAGGACCAAGTCTGAACCCTGAGGACCCAGTCTGAACCCTGAGGACCGAGTCTGAACCCTGAGGACCCAGTCTGAACCCCGAGGACCCAGTCTGAACCTTGAGGACCGAGTCTGAACCCTGAGGACCGAGTCTGAACCCTGAGGACCGAGTCTGAACCCTGAGGACCCAGTCTGAACCCTGAGGACCCAGTCTGAACCCCGAGGACCCAGTCTGAACCCTGAGGACCGAGTCTGAACCCTGAGGACCCAGTCTGAACCCCGAGGACCCAGTCTGAACCCTGAGGACCCAGTCTGAACCCTGAGGACCCAGTCTGAACCCTGAGGACCCAGTCTGAACCCTGAGGACCGAGTCTGAACCCTGAGGACCCAGTCTGAACCCTGAGGACCCAGTCTGAACCCTGAGGACCCAGTCTGAACCCTGAGGACCGAGTCTGAACCCTGAGGACCCAGTCTGAACCCTGAGGACCGAGTCTGAACTCTAAGGACCCAGTCTAAACCCTGAGGACCCATTTCTCCAACAGGGGGCGATAATGTCCAAAAATGTGAATAAATGTGGTCAAATATCCCAGATCATCACTGTCCTTTTTCACTGATTTCTTAAAGGGACAGTGCACATTAATATACATTATACATGTAAACATGCCAGAATTAGCCTCAGGGCTGTGGTCCCTGTTGTTGTGTGTCCTTCTGAAGGGAATACAGTTACACACAACACAATCAGATAAATTATAACACAGTACCATGTAAACAAACAGTACCTTCAATAACAACCATTCATTCGCTATTTTTAGGATTTGATCTCTCTTTTTCATAAGTTTTAATATGTCCGAGTTTATCCATAGAACATATTTTTGTGCTGTTTATGGCAGATTTTCTGAGAGAACTATGGTTTTGTCTAATGTAAAGTATTCCACTGACGTTAACAGCTCGTCCCACTGAAGCTACAACGTTTTGTTTTTAGGACTTGGACCCATCTGGAGTATTTGAACCAAAGCGTTTTCTTCCTGATTTTTGATTCAGAAGGATTAAGTTATGGTCAAATAAACCTGTTCTTTCTGTCCTTGGACCCTCCTGCATCAGCGAGGACTGAGGACGACTCCAAAACCCAGGTCTAGTTTCAGGCTGAGTCCAGGACTGATGGAAGCTCAAACAGAAGTAGTATATATATGTATTATATATTTGTGCTCAGCGTTAGTCTCTGAGGCTGGACTCTCTCAGCGTTAGTCTCTGAGGCTGGACTCTCTCAGCGTTAGTCTCTGAGGCTGGACTCTCTCAGTGTTAGTCTCTGAGGCTGGACTCTCTCAGCGTTAGTCTCTGAGGCTGGACTCTCTCAGCGTTAGTCTCTGAGGCTGGACTCTCTCAGCGTTAGTCTCTGAGCTGGACTCTCTCAGGTTAGTCTCTGAGGCTGGACTCTCTCAGCGTTAGTCTCTGAGGCTGGACTCTCTCAGCGTTAGTCTCTGAGGCTGGACTCTCTCAGCGTTAGTCTCTGAGGCTGGACTCTCTCAGCGTTAGTCTCTGAGGCTGGACTCTCTCAGCGTTAGTCTCTGAGGCTGGACTCTCTCAGCGTTAGTCTCTGAGGCTGGACTCTCTCAGCGTTAGTCTCTGAGGCTGGACTCTCTCAGCGTTAGTCTCTGAGGCTGCCTTCGGTTAGTCTCTGAGGCTGGACTCTCTCAGCGTTAGTCTCTGAGGCTGGACTCTCTCAGCGTTAGTCTCTGAGGCTGGACTCTCTCAGCGTTAGTCTCTGAGGCTGGACTCTCTCAGCGTTAGTCTCTGAGGCTGGACTCTCTCAGTGTTAGTCTCTGAGGCTGGACTCTCTCAGTGTTAGTCTCTGAGGCTGGACTCTCTCAGTGTTAGTCTCTGAGGCTGGACTCTCTCAGTGTTAGTCTCTGAGGCTGGACTCTCTCAGCGTTAGTCTCTGAGGCTGGACTCTCTCAGCGTTAGTCTCTGAGGCTGGACTCTCTCAGTGTTAGTCTCTGAGGCTGGACTCTCTCAGTGTTAGTCTCTGAGGCTGGACTCTCTCAGTGTTAGTCTCTGAGGCTGGACTCTCTCAGTGTTAGTCTCTGAGGCTGGACTCTCTCAGTGTTAGTATCTGAGGCTGGACTCTCTCAGCGTTAGTCTCTGAGGCTGGACTCTCTCAGCGTTAGTCTCTGAGGCTGGACTCTCTCAGTGTTAGTCTCTGAGGCTGGACTCTCTCAGCGTTAGTCTCTGAGGCTGGACTCTCTCAGCGTTAGTCTCTGAGGCTGGACTCTCTCAGCGTTAGTCTCTGAGGCTGGACTCTCTCAGCGTCGACCTCAGCGTTAGTCTCTGAGGCTGGACTCTCTCAGCGTTAGTCTCTGAGGCTGGACTCTCTCAGCGTTAGTCTCTGAGGCTGGACTCTCTCAGGTTAGTCTCTGAGGCTGGACTCTCTCAGTCTCTGAGCTGTTCCTCAGGTCTCTGAGGCTGGACTCTCTCAGTGTTAGTCTCTGAGGCTGGACTCTCTCAGTGTTAGTCTCTGAGGCTGGACTCTCTCAGTGTTAGTCTCTGAGGCTGGACTCTCTCAGTGTTAGTCTCTGAGGCTGGACTCTCTCAGCGTTAGTCTCTGAGGCTGGACTCTCTCAGCGTTAGTCTCTGAGGCTGGACTCTCTCAGTGTTAGTCTCTGAGGCTGGACTCTCTCAGTGTTAGTCTCTGAGGCTGGACTCTCTCAGTGTTAGTCTCTGAGGCTGGACTCTCTCAGTGTTAGTCTCTGAGGCTGGACTCTCTCAGTGTTAGTATCTGAGGCTGGACTCTCTCAGTGTTAGTCTCTGAGGCTGGACTCTCTCAGCGTTAGTCTCTGAGGCTGGACTCTCTCAGTGTTAGTCTCTGAGGCTGGACTCTCTCAGTGTTAGTCTCGAGGCTGGACTCTCTCAGTGTTAGTCTCTGAGGCTGGACTCTCTCAGCGTTAGTCTCTGAGGCTGGACTCTCTCAGCGTTAGTCTCTGAGGCTGGACTCTCTCAGTGTTAGTCTCTGAGGCTGGACTCTCTCAGCGTTAGTCTCTGAGGCTGGACTTTCTCAGTGTTAGTCTCTGAGGCTGGACTCTCTCAGTGTTAGTCTCTGAGGCTGGACTCTCTCAGTGTTAGTCTCTGAGGCTGGACTCTCTCAGTGTTAGTCTCTGAGGCTGGACTTTCTCAGTGTTAGTCTCTGAGGCTGGACTCTCTCAGCGTTAGTCTCTGAGGCTGGACTCTCTCAGCGTTAGTCTCTGAGGCTGGACTCTCTCAGCGTTAGTCTCTGAGGCTGGACTTTCTCAGTGTTAGTCTCTGAGGCTGGACTCTCTCAGTGTTAGTCTCTGAGGCTGGACTCTCTCAGCGTTAGTCTCTGAGGCTGGACTCTCTCAGTGTTAGTCTCTGAGGCTGGACTCTCTCAGCGTTAGTCTCTGAGGCTGGACTCTCTCAGTGTTAGTCTCTGAGGCTGGACTCTCTCAGCGTTAGTCTCTGAGGCTGGACTCTCTCAGTGTTAGTCTCTGAGGCTGGACTCTCTCAGTGTTAGTCTCTGAGGCTGGACTCTGGCTGATAACATTATTGCGTGAGTGATGGTATAATTCTTGTGTATTGATTCCTGAGGCAGACGAACCTGGAAGGGGATGACGATGTTGACCTTCTCTCCCACTCGAGTGATGAGTTTGGAGCGAAGATGACGAGGCACACGGATCTTCGGCGTCTCTGAAGGAAAACATGTCATTAAACCAGGAGTGAGAAGGTGGGTGGAAGAAGGACAGACACAGACACAGACACAGACACAGAGACAGACACAGAGACGGACACAGACACAGTTACAGAGACAGACACAGACACAGAGACAGACACAGACACAGAGACAGAGACAGACACAGAGACAGACACAGAGACAGACACAGAGACAGAGACAGACACAGACTCAGAGACAGAGTCAGACACAGAGACAGAGACAGACACAGACTCAGAGACAGAGACAGACACAGACACAGAGACAGACACAGACACAGAGACAGACACAGACACAGAGACAGACACAGAGACAGACACAGAGACAGAGACAGAGACAGACACAGAGACAGAGACAGACACAGACACAGACACAAAGACAGACACAGAGACATACACAGACACAGACACAGACACAGTTACAGACACAGACACAGACACAGACACAGACAGAGACAGAGACAGAGACAGAGACAGACACAGACACAGACACAGTTACAGACACAGACACAGACACAGACACATACACAGACACAGAGACAGACACAGAGACATACACAGACACAGACACAGTTACAGACACAGACACAGACACAGACACAGACACAGTTACAGACACAGAGACAGACACAGAGACAGACACAGACACAGACACAGACACAGACACAGACACAGAGACAGACACAGACACAGACACAGTTACAGAGACAGACACAGACACAGACACAGACACAGTTACAGAGACAGAGACAGACACAGAGACAGAGACAGAGACAGACACAAACACAGACACAGAGACAGACACAGAGACAGACACAGACACAGACACAGTTACAGAGACAGACACAGACACAGACACAGAGACAGACACAGACACAGACACAGTTACAGAGACAGAGACAGACACAGAGACAGACACAGACACAGAGACAGACACAGAGACAGACACAGACACAGTTACAGAGACAGAGACAGACACAGAGACAGAGACAGAGACAGACACAGACACAGACACAGACACAGACACAGTTACAGAGACAGAGACAGACACAGACACAGATACAGATACAGACACAGACACAGACACAGAGACAGACACAGACACAGACACAGACACAGTTACAGAGACAGACACAGAGACAGAGACAGACACAGAGACAGACACAGAGACAGACACAGACACAGTTACAGAGACCGAGACAGACACAGAGACAGAGACAGAGACAGACACAGACACAGACACAGACACAGAGACAGACACAGACACAGACACAGACACAGAGACAGACACAGAGACAGACACAGACACAGTTACAGAGACAGAGACAGACACAGAGACAGAGACAGAGACAGACACAGACACAGACACAGACACAGTTACAGAGACAGAGACAGACACAGACACAGATACAGATACAGACACAGACACAGAGACAGACACAGAGACAGACACAGACACAGACACAGACACAGTTACAGAGACAGACACAGAGACAGAGACAGACACAGAGACAGACACAGAGACAGACACAGACACAGTTACAGAGACCGAGACAGACACAGAGACAGAGACAGAGACAGACACAGACACAGACACAGACACAGACACAGTTACAGAGACAGAGACAGACACAGACACAGAGACAGACACAGACACAGACACAGAGACAGTTTCAGACACAGACACAGAGACAGAGACAGACACAGACACAGACACAGAGACAGTTTCAGACACAGACACAGAGACAGAGACAGACACAGACACAGAGACAGAGACAGAGACAGACACAGAGACAGACACAGACACAGAGACAGACACAGACACAGACACAGTCACACACACAGACACAGACACAGAGACAGATACAGAGACAGAGACAGACAGAGACAGAGACAGAGGCAGAGACAGACACAGACACAGACACAGAGACAGACACAGACACGGAGACAGAGACAGACAGAGACAGACAGAGACAGACAGAGACAGAGACAGACACAGACACAGACACAGAGACAGACACAGACACAGACACAGACACAGAGACAGAGACAGACACAGAGACAGAGACAGACAGAGACAGAGACAGAGACAGACACAGAGACAGACACAGACACAGTCACACACACAGACACAGGCACAGTCACAGACACAGACACAGACACAGAGACAGAGACAGAGACAGAGACAGACACAGATACAGAAACAGACACAGACACAGACCGTACGTGAGGCAAAGTGCTTAACCTGGAAAAAGAACATTCTGATCTGTTTTTTACGTCTGAATGAACATTTGTGTGTTTCTCCCTCACCCACGATCTCCCGGATGGTGACGGCCTGGCCCAGGACGGCGGGGGGGCTGCGTCCGGCCGGGTTCACCGCCACCACCCGGAACTGCATCTTCTCCCCCACAGGAAGCTCCCTCACACGGTACTGGGTCTTCTCCACGGGCACCTCGTTCGCCTGCACCCACTGGTCACCTGGGAGAAGCAGGGAGGGGGAGAGAGGGGGAGGGGGGGGGGGAGGGAGGGAGAGGGAGGGGGGGGGGGGGGGGGGGAAAGGGGGAGGGAGGGAGAAGGAGGAGAGAGGGGGAGGGAGGGAAGAGAGAGGGGGGGAGAGGGGGAGGGAGGGGGAGAAGGGGGAGAGTGACCACAGCATGACCACAGTATTACAGAGTATTAGAGTATCCAGAGTATCTATAGAGTATCCAGAGTATCTATAGAGTATCCAGAGTATCTATAGCAGTACAAAAGTATGAGTACTTCCGTCCACGCAGTACTCGATGAAGTATCCCTGGATTCCTCCGGCGCCGATCTTCTCCGGTTGGCGCCACTTCAGAGAACAGGTGGAGTCGGTCACATCGTCCACCTGCAGACGGGTGGGCTCACTGGTGGGGGCTGGGGATACACAGACACCATCAACACATACCATAAATACCATCAATGCATACCATCAATATATACTATCAATACATACCATCGATACATACCATCAACACATACCATCAATACATACCATCGATACATACCATCGACACATACCATCAAACCAGAGAGAGACCAGAGAGAGAGAGAGACCAGAGAGAAACTAGAGAGAGAGAGAGAGAGACCAGAGAGAGACCAGAGAGAGAGAGAGACCAGAGAGAGACCAGAGAGAAACTAGAGAGAGAGTGAGAGAGAGACCAGAGAGAGACCAGAGAGAGACCAGAGAGAGACCAGAGAGAGACCAGAGAGAGAGACCAGAGAGAGAGACCAGAGAGAGAGACCAGAGAGAGACCAGAGAGAGACCAGAGAGAGAGAGACCAGAGAGAGAGACCAGAGAGAGACTAGAGAGAAACCAGAGAGAGAGACCAGAGAGAGACCAGAGAGAAACTAGAGAGAGAGTGAGGGAGAGACCAGAGAGAGACCAGAGAGAGACCAGAGAGAGAGACCAGAGAGAGAGACCAGAGAGAGACCAGAGAGAGACCAGAGAGAGAGACCAGAGAGAGAGACCAGAGAGAGACTAGAGAGAAACCAGAGAGAGAGACCAGTGAGAGACCAGAAAGAGACCGTGCGTGCCTCACCGATGGGCATGAACGGCGGTGAGGAGGCGCTGGGCTGGGACATGCCGATCCCGTTGACCGCGAAGACCCTCATCTCGTACAGAACGCCGTCGATCATCTTCTTGGCGTCGTACGTCGTGGATTCGTAAAGGTCAAAGTTCAGTTTGGTCCAACGTGGCGAGCCGACCTTCTTCCTCTCCATCAGAAAACCTGGACCAGACCAAGGACTTCAGATCGGTCTCAGTCTGGCTTCAAGTGACTCTGACCCTGTGGTGTGGGCTGTTTACTGCTATTCAACCGCTGTCCCTCTGTCTGTTCATGAATGCACTGGTGGGACTCGAACCCCTGGACTCCCTAGACCTGAGGACTAGATCCCAGTCTGAAACCCTGGACCTAGGACCAGTCCCTAGTCTGAAACCCTGGACCTAGGACTAGTCCCCAGTCTGAAAGCCTGGACCTAGGACTAGTCCCCAGTCTGAAACCCTAGACCTAGGACCAGTCCCTAGTCTGAAACCCTGGACCTAGGACTAGTCCCCAGTCTGAAATCCTGGACCTAGGACTAGTCCCCAGTCTGAAACCTTGGACCTAGGACTAGTCCCCAGTCTGAAACCCTGGACCTAGGACTAGTCCCCAGTCTGAAACCCTGGACCTAGGACTAGTCCCCAGTCTGAAAGCCTGGACCTAGGACTAGTCCCCAGTCTGAAACCCTAGACCTAGGACTTGTCCCCAGTCTGAAACCCTGGACCTAGGACTAGTCCCCAGTCTGAAACCCTAGACCTAGGACCAGTCCCTAGTCTGAAACCCTGGACCTAGGACTAGTCCCCAGTCTGAAAGCCTGGACCTAGGACTAGTCCCCAGTCTGAAACCCTAGACCTAGGACTTGTCCCCAGTCTGAAACCCTGGACCTAGGACTAGTCCCCAGTCTGAAATCCTGGACCTAGGACTAGTCCCCAGTCTGAAACCTTGGACCTAGGACTAGTCCCCAGTCTGAAACCCTGGACCTAGGACTAGTCCCCAGTCTGAAACCCTGGACCTAGGACTAGTCCCCAGTCTGAAACAACATGATCATCTCAGTATTGTCCATTTCTCCAGTTAATGATTCACAGAAACATGTTTTCGATCTAAATCTATAATAATGTTTCCAAGTTTAGTTCCTGAAAAGCCCTGATTCAGCAGTTTTCTCTGAGGATGGAGCGGAGCATC